GCAAAATCGTCAGGCAAAATCCCATTATTGTTGTTTTTATAAAACAACGTTTGTTTATGAGTGGAGAACGATGGTAATGTTTACCAGGGGGTAAGGCAGGGAATACCTAGGTTTCGGAAAGAGCCACCAATCCTCATCAGTTCCCTTGTTTCTTGTCTGGGATATTCTCCCCAGAAGTTATTTTAAAAAATAACTTCTATGACAAAAAACATTTTTTTTTTTACCCAAGTGACGAGATCGTAAGCTCAATAGAAGAGGAACAAAAGAATTACATAAAACTAAAATTCTTTTGGAAAATCTTCTAAATCTTACAACCGCACTTATAAACATTTACATCTTTCTCCACTTGTTATGCTTTCGTTCAACCTGAACGAAGTAACATAACCATGTAAGTTTGTTTTGTCTGTTACAACAAAAACCCCTTCGTCGACCGTGCCTGTGTCTATTAATAGAACAGTGTTTGGCTTGCTTGTTTGGGATACCATAGTATTTTGTTGTTGCAAAATCGTCAGGCAAAATCCCATTATTGTTGTTTTTATAAAAACAACGTTTGTTTATGAGTGGAGAACGATGGTAATGTTTACCAGGGGGTAAGGCAGGGAATACCTAGGTTTCGGAAAGAGCCACCAATCCTCATCAGTTCCCTTGTTTCTTGTCTGGGATATTCTCCCCAGAAGTTATTTTAAAAAATAACTTCTATGACAAAAAACATTTTTTTTTTTACCCAAGTGACGAGATCGTAAGCTCAATAGAAGAGGAACAAAAGAATTACATAAAACTAAAATTCTTTTGGAAAATCTTCTAAATCTTACAACCGCACTTATAAACATTTACATCTTTCTCCACTTGTTATGCTTTCGTTCAACCTGAACGAAGTAACATAACCATGTAAGTTTGTTTTGTCTGTTACAACAAAAACCCCTTCGTCGACCGTGCCTGTGTCTATTAATAGAACAGTGTTTGGCTTGCTTGTTTGGGATACCATAGTATTTTGTTGTTGCAAAATCGTCAGGCAAAATCCCAAATAAAATAACTTCTGGGGAGAATATCCCAGACAAGAAACAAGGGAACTGATGAGGATTGGTGGCTCTTTCCGAAACCTAGGTATTCCCTGCCTTACCCCCTGGTAAACATTACCATCGTTCTCCACTCATAAACAAACGTTGTTTTTATAAAAACAACAATAATGGGATTTTGCCTGACGATTTTGCAACAACAAAATACTATGGTATCCCAAACAAGCAAGCCAAACACTGTTCTATTAATAGACACAGGCACGGTCGACGAAGGGGTTTTTGTTGTAACAGACAAAACAAACTTACATGGTTATGTTACTTCGTTCAGGTTGAACGAAAGCATAACAAGTGGAGAAAGATGTAAATGTTTATAAGTGCGGTTGTAAGATTTAGAAGATTTTCCAAAAGAATTTTAGTTTTATGTAATTCTTTTGTTCCTCTTCTATTGAGCTTACGATCTCGTCACTTGGGTAAAAAAAAATGTTTTTTGTCATAGAAGTTATTTTTTAAAATAACTTCTGGGGAGAATATCCCAGACAAGAAACAAGGGAACTGATGAGGATTGGTGGCTCTTTCCGAAACCTAGGTATTCCCTGCCTTACCCCCTGGTAAACATTACCATCGTTCTCCACTCATAAACAAACGTTGTTTTTATAAAAACAACAATAATGGGATTTTGCCTGACGATTTTGCAACAACAAAATACTATGGTATCCCAAACAAGCAAGCCAAACACTGTTCTATTAATAGACACAGGCACGGTCGACGAAGGGGTTTTTGTTGTAACAGACAAAACAAACTTACATGGTTATGTTACTTCGTTCAGGTTGAACGAAAGCATAACAAGTGGAGAAAGATGTAAATGTTTATAAGTGCGGTTGTAAGATTTAGAAGATTTTCCAAAAGAATTTTAGTTTTATGTAATTCTTTTGTTCCTCTTCTATTGAGCTTACGATCTCGTCACTTGGGTAAAAAAAAAAAAAAATGTTTTTTGTCATAGAAGTTATTTTTTAAAATAACTTCTGGGGAGAATATCCCAGACAAGAAACAAGGGAACTGATGAGGATTGGTGGCTCTTTCCGAAACCTAGGTATTCCCTGCCTTACCCCCTGGTAAACATTACCATCGTTCTCCACTCATAAACAAACGTTGTTTTTATAAAAACAACAATAATGGGATTTTGCCTGACGATTTTGCAACAACAAAATAAATGTTTAAGTTTTGTCGAGACTTCCATATATATCTTAATCCGTTTTCAGGTTTTTTTTTGTGCACCAAATGGCGAATATCAGCCCAAATGAACTCCATTTTTGCGATTTCGACGGAATTCAGCTTTAAGCAAGTGTTTCTAATTTTGGTGAAAATTGGTTCATATATAGCTATAGCTCCCATAAGTCCCCAACAGCGCACTATGTCGCGAGTTCATACAAACGGCGGCCAAAAATAGAAAGAGTTGTCGTAGGTGGATGAAATTTTGTACAGATGCTTATTATTGGGCTAAAAAGCAAATTACAAAAATTTGGATAGATTGGACCAAAATTCGGTATACCTCCCATATATAGGGTCTTCCAAATTTCACTCTTTTAGCCTATAAAATCGTTAATATTCAACCAAATTTGATGAAAATTGGCATGTAACTTCTAATTGGGCCTATAAAACAGTTGACAAAAATTGGATTGATCGGACCATGATTTGGTATACCTCCCATACAATGGGTCTTGAAAAATTCTCTCTTTTGGGATATAAAAACGAATGTATTAACCCAAATTCGACGAAAATCTGCAGTTTACTTCTAATTTGGGCTATAAAACAAGTGACAAAAAATTGAATTGATCGGACCATGATTTGGTATACCTCCCATACAATGGGGCTTGAAAATTTCGATTTGTTGGCCTATGAAATCGTATGTATTCAACCATATTAAATGAATATTTGCAGTTTACTTCTTATTTAGTGAAATATTAAAATTGTCTGTAGGTTTACGTTTCAGAGTATTTATATTACAAAACCCTCTTTTCAATAAAACACGTTTTATTCGTATTTAATTTTTATTAATAACATAAGCTTTGAAATACACTATTCACTACATACCTCACTGCAATCATCAGATTCATCTTCTGAACATATTTCCGGAATATTTAAGTTATTTTCTTCACAAATATATGATTTAATGTCTTCCATGTTATAATTTCGGGCCAATATATTATGACTGTTCAAGGATATTACAGGGTCCGATTGTAGTATCAAATACTGAATTAAATCCCTATTTGACTCGACTCTACCACATTTTCGGGTGTGTTTCAAACGGTTGCTCCTAATTATTTTATGGCATGACTCGATAGCCTCTTCCGAAAGCAGTCCAAGAGGGGATGTACTGTACCTTACATATCCAATGCCATTAACTAAAGTTTTATGCACCGTGACTGGCATGTAATACCAAGAGAATAAGTCGATGTAAAGTTGCCATGTATCTTGAAGAAGCTTATGAAATAAATTTATTTTTATAAATCTCCCACAAGACAAAATCCGCAAAATGAGGGAAAAATTGTAAATTAATCTTCTGTCGACCCCGGTAATATCTGCCGCTACTTCAATGTTTGAAAAAAAACGTCGAGCTGTATTTCCATCATTTGATGTCCCGTAGCCCGGTTTTATTTTGTCGACAAGAAGACCTAGATTTGTTTTTAATGCTCTTCGTATCCTGATTTTATTTTCATTCACTAATATTGTGTTTCTACTATCAATTCGCCATGTCTTGACAGGTAGTTTATATGCAATATGAACAATGCACTCAAAAAACTTAATCCAGGCGTGTAAACTAGATATACCGTTCCTATAACACTCTTCGTTGACTTCTCTTTGGTATATAGATTCATCATTCATTTGTGAAGGCTTGGCGCCACATAAAACACAGGTTGCACAACTTTTATTGCCATACAATACATTTAATACAGCTCCGTCAATCATTGTTAGTTTCATGCGATGAGAAATCATAATTTCATAACTGTTATCAATGTATACACAAGCATCCAAATCTGCTATTTCTTTCTCTATGTTTTCTTTGACTTCATTTATAGTCTGTGAATTTTCCTTTGTAAAAAGTATTTTAATAGGTCTACATAGCCTTGAAGATGAGTGCCTGTCGTTCTGCCACAAGACATTTTCGTTTGTATCATCTAAAATACGCAAGGGCACAAATGAAGAAACGAACATAAATTCATCTGTTGCGTCTTCGTTTCGAAATTTTTGTTTATAGAGGCTATGACCACTGCTGCCATCAAATCCCCATTTACATTCTAAAGTTATATTATTTTTCGGACAAATTTGTAGTTTAGTTAGAATGCTCTTCGCGGTATTATCCAAAAGTGTTTGTAGAGGTACATTCATTGATGTTTCCGTCACTTCTATATTTTCTGGAATCAATTTTTTCTTAGCTTCTGCTATAGCATAATACGATGGGAAACAATTTTTATGTATAGCATTTACAGCATTTCTCATCATGTTATACTGTCTAACTGATAAATCCATATCCACGTAGAGCGCCAATGCTTTTTCCACTGAAATAATGTCCGTTTCCTTTACATTCGAAAATCTTTTTGCAGCTGTTGTTATGATGTCCGCCGAAGTAGATGCAACAAGTTCACCTACACTTCGCCTTTTTGTTCTACATGAACTTTCCTCAAAGTTAATGCGTGGTCGACCTCTTGATGTAGACTTATCAGGTTCCTAAATATTTAAAAGTTTTTAAATAATTGGTTTAATAAAAATAATCTTCAAATGTACCGAATCAAATTTAAACGTATCCATAAGAAACCAATCTTTTAAGACCATTTCTACTTTATCCCTCTTTCGATAGTATTTTTTCCACGTAGAAGACAATTTGTAGCAAATATTTTTAACCTTTATGTGTTCTTCGCCCGTCATTTTCCTTCCAATTCGATCCTCAATAAATTCTTTAAGTTTTGCCAGAACATATGACATACTTTGATCCTTTACTTCTAACCATTCCAAAAATATGTCACAGTTTTTTAAAGAGGTGGTCACTAAAAAAAGCAAATAACTCTTAGGACCGCAGGTTTCCGCAGCTAATTTTTTTATAGGTTAAAAATACATACTTTTCACAACTAAAATCAACAAAAATGTAGACTAAACTTTTTTAAACCTTTTTTTTTCTACTCCACTAATTTCAAGATTTGCTTTACAAAATAGATGAACTAAGTACAACAGGTGTTTGTAACTGTAAACACCATATGATCACTATTTACACCCAAACAAAGGTGAAGCCAAGTTTTTGACATCCCAAGTAACTAAAATAAACACTTTTTTTATAACCGTTACTTTTAATATTCAAATTATGGAACATATGAAAAAAGTGTCAATTTTCCGAAAAAAATAGAAAAATGCCGATTGCCAAAAACTATCAGATTTGAACCCTCGTACAGGCAAAACTACTTGACGTATCACTACCAAAATTCATATTATTCCTAACTGGAATGTTTTCTATCAATTCTCATCAATAAATTTGTGCTCTTATGTACTTGGTTTTTACCATTTTTGGCCGCGGTCGTGACACTGTGCAGCGTAATATGCACTCCTCAACAATGAAATTTATTACCGGGCATCAAATACTGCAGGAAAATACCTCTACCAATTTTCATTGAGATTGGTGTAGGTTTTTTTTATAGCTTCGATATACATCTTCATCCGATTTAATGGTTATTACTCACCATTTATGTAATATCAGCCCAAATTGAATAGGTTTTTTAATATTCAACCAAAATTTGACATTCGGTGCATCTCGGTTCAGTGTATCTATAGCTCCAATAAATATTATTTAATATATTCATTATCGAAGTCAAATCAAGCACCATACAGCAACGTTAATTGGGTCATAGTTTGTATGATGTACTTCACTTAAATTCCCAATAGAAAATTTTTTGTTACGGGATCTCTACTAAATATGGATAGTGGTGTAGGGTATCTTACAGTCAGCCCCGTCCTACTTTTGACCTTTCCTTCCTTTTTATACCCTCCACCTTGGAAAGGAGGGTATATTAACTCTGTCATTCCGTTTGTAACATCATTAAATATTCGTCGTAGACCCCATAATGTATATATATTCATAATCAGCATAAAATTCTAAGTCGATTTAACGATGTCCGTCTGTCTGTCTGTCCGTCTGTCAGTCAGTCAGTCTGTCTGTCTGTCTGTCCGTCTGCCTTTCTGTCTGTTGAAATCACGATACAGCCCACATTATTTGACGTAGAGCGCCAAAATTTAGCAGAGCAATTTGTATTGTCTCTAGGATAGTTGGTATTGAAAATGAGATATATCGGTCCACGTTCTGGTATAGTCCCCATATAACGGTTCCTCCCGATATTCGGTATTTTGATGATTTTTGCCACATTTTTTCACGGATTTGTCTGAAAATTGGTATTTGTTGGTCATAATGGGTTCCAGCTCCGGTGGCGAAACATTGCATGTATGGGTTCATGATTTGGTATAGCCCCCATATAAAGGTACCTCCCAATATTCTGTATTTTGATGATTTTTTTCACAGATTTATCTGAAAGTAGGTAGTTGTAGATCATAATGGGTCCCAGTACGTGTGGCGAGTCATTGTAATTATAGGTCCACGTTTTGGTATAGCCCCCATATAACGGTACCTCCCGATATTCGGTAATTTGATGATTTTTGCCACATTTTTTTCACGGATTTGTCTGAAAATTGGTATTTGTAGATCATAATGGGTTCTAGGTCCTTTGACGAAACATTGCATGTGTAGGTCCACGATTTGGTATAGCCCCCATATGAGGGTACCTCCCGATATTTGGCATTTTAATGATTTTTATCAACATTTATTCTAATGTTTCCTTTACCCTAAGGTGGAGTGTATTAAAAGTATGGCCCGGCCGAACTTAATGTTTTTTTACTTGTTTTTTATTTATTTTTTTTTTTTTTGTATAGCTTACATTCGTCTATAATTTATCTGAAGCTATTCAACGATTATTTTCTTTCAAATCAGAAGAATAATTTACATTTTGTGAGTGATATTGATATTCAAATTTGTAATCTCTTGGGAGAGGCGCGAGAGTTTCAGGGGGCTTCACTGTGCCACTGTCGCGAATATGAACAACAACTTACTATAAGTTTCTTCGTATCTTTTTCTTTTGCTACGTAGTTGTTTAAGGAATAACCTAGTGGTAATGCAAAAGTCAGTTAGTTTATATTACCAATTTATTGGTGATTCGTCTCAAACAGAACTCTATTTTTGCTGGACATTATTTTACATACACTAATAACACCACTGAACCAAAAAGTTAAAACATGTATACAATAATAAAAAACTTATATAAATTGATGCTGATATCATCACTCAATAAAATTTTATAAAGCGAAACTAGCACACCCAATCCATGAAAGTGGATCCAATATTTCCCTTTTATTTTCAGCTTCATTTTATTTTTGTGAGTGTAATAAAGTTTGGCATCGGGTTATTGTTGCTGGAGTACACTGCTGCTGCTTTTTTCAATTATCTTCTCTTTAATGTTTATACATTTTAGTGGCGTTCGGTTTATATGATTATGTGTTGGGTGTATTTTGTGTTTTTTTTTTCTGCTCCGGCTCTACCAACTTGGTTTATCACATGGTGATTTGGGTTATTATTGCAGTTCTGGTGTTCGTTCTCTGGGTAATGTCATAGCCATCGTCGTCATCATCAGCAGCAGCATCACTATTATCATTTTGTGGCGCCAAGATTTTTTAAATGTTGTAATTTAATATTATACTTGATGTCTGTGTGTGTGTTTGTTTGAGTGTGTACATTAAAAATTAACACTAATTGATTGTAGCCATTATATTACATCGATAATTTCATTGGTATGAATGAGTAATGAATCGCTTAACAAGTCTAGATAAATTATGTGACAGCGTTTTGGACCAAAGAAAATATTTTTAATTTTTCGATAACCAAGAATATGAGTTTAATAAATTATTTTAAAATGTTTGTTGGTGTTTTATGGCGGAAGGAAAATGTAAAGTAGATGGGTTATAGAAGATTTGCTTCAAATTGAAGATATTTGGGGTAGTTGAAGTATATTATTAGTTTATTATACCCTCCACCTTGGAACGGAGGGTATATTAACTTTGTCATTTCGTTTGTAACATCCCGAAATATTGGTCGAAGACCCCATTAAGTATATATATATATATATATATATATATATATATATATATATATATATATATATATATATATATATATATATATATATATATATATATATATATGTATATATATATACGGAGGGTATATTAACTTTGTCATTTCGTTTGTAACATCCCGAAATATTGGTCGAAGACCCCATTAAGTATATATATATATATATATATATATATATATATATATATATATATATATATATTCATAATCAGCATAAGTCGATTAGACGATGTCCGTTTGTTTGTCTGTCCCTCTGCATGTCACGATACAGATCACATTGTTTGAGTTAGAACGTCAAAATTAGCAGAACAATTTGTATTGTGTGTAGGATGGTTGGTATTGAAAATTGGATATATTGGCCCATGTTTTGGTACAGTCCCCATATAACTATACCTCCCAATATTCGGTATTTTGATGATTTTTGACACATTTTTTTTTCGCGAATTTGTCTGAAAATTGGTATTGGTAGGTCATAATAGGTCTTATTTCGTATGGCGAAATATTGTATGTATAGGTACATAACCCATATCAAGGTACCTACCGTGATTCGGTATTTTCATGATTTTTGACACATTTTTTCACGGATTTGCCTGAAAATTTCTATTTGTAGGTCATAATGGGCCCTAGTTCGTGTGGCGAAACATTGCATGCACATTTTTTCCCGCACTTGTCTAAAAATTGGAATTTTTCTTCGCGGATTTGTCTAAAATTGGCATTTGTGCGTCCCAATGGGTTCTAGATTAATTGGCGAAATAATGCATGTATAGGTTAAAATTTTTGTATAGCGGTACCACCCTGTATTCGGTATATTGATGGTTTTTGTCACATTTTCCCACGAATACGTCTAAAAATTGGTGTTTGTGGGTCAAATGTTTTCTTTTCCCTAAGGTGGAGGGTATTAAAGTTCGACTTGGCCGAAATTAATGTTTTTTAATTGTTCATAATAAATATGTAACAAGTTAAATAGCAGTAAGTTCAGCCGGGCCGAACTATGAATACCCTCCACAATTTAGAATAAAATTTGGAAATTTTCAAAAAATAAAATGTATTAAAAATTCTGTTAAAATCTTAAATTCCGAATATAGCTGTTATACTGGAGACTATACGACATGGACTTACATAGGCATTGTTTGCCATAAGCCATTTCCATATTCGAATTCGAAACTTAATATAAACGGTGAATATCATAATAACTTATACAGGGAGGTACCATTATATTGGAGCTATACGAAGACCTGGACCTGCATACACAATTTTCTGTCACAGGCTATAGCATCCATTACGAACTTCAAACACGACATCTGAAGCTAATTTGGTGAGTATTGAACAAAAAATGGTCAAAATACCGAATAGAGGGAGGAACTGATATATGAGGCCTATACGAAGACCTGGATATGCATAGACAATTGTCTGTCACAGACTGTAGTTCCCATTACGAACTTTAAATTCGTAATTTAAAACTACTCCGGAGAATAATGTCGCTAAAATCATCAAAATACCGAATATGGGGAGGTAGCGTTATATGGGAGCAATACGAAGACGAGGACCTGCACAGATAATTTTCTGTCTTAGGCTGTAGTATCCATTACGAACTTTGTCCGATCTACTTTTTGACGGACAATTTCGAATTTGAAATACCAAATTTGAAACAATTCCGGTGAATAATGTCGCTAAATTAAACAACAAAATACCGAATATCGGGAGGTACCATTATATGGGGGATATATGAAAACGTGGACCTACATAAACCATTTACGAACTTAACCGTCCTACAAAATAAACATGTGTGCAAAACTTTAGCCTCCTATCTCAATTCGTTCGAAAGATAGAGTGATTACAACAGACAGACAGACGGACATCGCTAAATCGACTTAGAATTTTATGTACCAAGGATATATATTCAGTATTGGGTCTGACATGAATATATCGAGGAGTTACAAACGGAATGACATATTTAATATACACTCCATAGTATGGTGGAGGGTATGAAAAATAGTGAATGATTTTTCATCAACGCCTGAGCGGCAATAATACGTAAATAACTGTCAAGTTTTTACAATAAACAATACCGTACTTTAAACAGTCGGTCATTGATTTCTGCATTCATCTGTTTGCTTTTTACAATTTTCTAAAATTAGAATAACCATTTCAATATTTGATAATATTCGCCTTCTTACTTATTCATCTCCAATATATTTGTGTCTTCCTTCTTCTGGTCTATGCGAGCAATATTTTAAGCAGAGCATATTTTCACGTGCCTAACCTAATAAAAAACACCTTTAATATTTCATCAAAATAAAAGGGGAAAAGCAATAAAAAAAATGGACAAACTTTTAATAACAAAAAATCAGTTGGATGAGTTTTAAACATGCCAAAGATATTTTGGCGTTACCACAAAAAATTTTCTTATTTTTATTTTATTTATTTATATATTAGTTTTTTTTTGCCTTTTTTTATTAGATTTTCTTCATAACCCATTCATAACTTTCACAACAGCAACACAAAAATCTTTTTATTTTAATAAGAAAAAAATGGAAATCTGACAGACATCTAGGAAATTAGCCATACTTCAGGCAAATGCGAGTACAACTCGAACAGCAGTAGCAGCATAATAATGCTTACAGCCAATTTGTGTCTGGTTTTTTGTGGTGGCTGCTCGTTGCTAGGAGCCAATAAAATATAAATTATGGTAGTCATGTACGAACGTGTCGAAATTTACAAGATTTTTGGTTGATTAAGGCAAACGGTTGTTTCTTTTATCATGCATACAATTATGAAATATTTGCTGGCTTACTTTTATTTCGAAGGAATCGTCAGGAAGAAGAAATTATAATTCGTTTGCAATTTGGTCAGCAATTGTATGGAGGGTTTCACTGCATTTTTCACTGAAACTTCTGTTAAAAGCGTGATCAAAAGTATTCATTAAAATCTATGATTTTGGATCTGAATGGCTCGAAAAACTAAAAAATTAAAAAACCAGTAAAGAAAGTCTTAAAGTCGGGCGGGGCCGACTTTATGATACCCTACACCACTTTGCTAATTAAGTAGAGCTCCACATAACAATTAAAAGTTTTTACGGGAGAATTCAATTATACACGCTATGATTATAATTATAATTTAAAGTTCAAAGGACTAAATATGCCGAAGCATTTGTATCTTTTAAATTCGGAATTGTATTACCCACTTGGTGCACAATTAATTTGAAATCGGATATAGATATATATGGGAGCTATATCCAAATCGGAACCGATCTCGATAAAATTTGGCAAAGATATTTCTGAGCTGTATTTGATATATTTCCCCGAATATCGTTGTTACGGAGTGCATACTACGGTTGTGGGTAACAAATATAACAAATCAGATGAACAGTATATATGGAAGCTATTGCTATATCTGAACCGATCTTCACCAAATTTTACATACTATCTTCTAGACTCAATTCGGTCGTAAGTGCCAAACGTCATTCCAAATAATAGACGTTTGGTGCAAAAGGTAAATCGGACGATGTTGTATATGGGAGCTATATCCAAATCTGAACCGATCTCGATAAAATTTAGCAAAGTTATTTCTGAGCTGTATTTGATATATTTCCCCAAATATTGTTGTTACAGAGTGCATATTACGGCTACGGAGGACAAAAATAAAAACAAATCGGATGAACAATATATATGGGAGCTATAGCTATATCTGAACCGATTTCGATCAAATTTGGCATACTTATTTCCAGGCATCAGTTGGTTGTATGTGAAAAATTCTATACTATTCGGTCTGATATTACATGTTTGGTGCACAATAAAATGCAAATCGGACGAAGATATATATGGGAGCTATATCTTTATTTTGAATGATTATCTCCTATTTCAATAGGGTTCGTCCTTGGGCCAAACAAATGATTTGTGCAAAATTTCATCTGGATAGGGCAATAAATGCGAACTGTACTTTGTTTACAAAAATACATGGACAGACGGAAGGACAGACAGATGGACATGCATAAATCGACTCAGAATGTTATTCTATGCAGATCATCAAAAGGAACTATGGGTCTACCTCGTTTCCTTTTGCCTGTTACAAACAAATTCACAAAGACATAATACCCTGACCACCTTGTGGTGTAGAGTATAAAAATCCGTAAAAAACTTTTGCTAAAATCTTAAAAACACCGACTATTCGAAATCGCCGTTATATTGGGACTATACGAAGGCAACTTTTGTCATAGGCCATTACAATATTCAATTAGGAAACTTGAAAAAACAATCCGGTGAATAATGTAGCTAAAATTATTAAAATACATTAAAATACTGAATATAGGGACGTACCGTTATATCAGGGCTGTACCTATACCTGCATAAACAATTTCATTGTAAACACAGGCAGAAATGGTTCGAAAAGTAAAGAAGCGACTTGATCGAAACCCGCGTCGAAGTGGCCGAAAAATGGCTCATGAGCTGAATATATCGCAATATTCCATTCGGCAAATATTGAAAACTGAGCTCGGGTTAAAGCCATTGAAATTCCAAAAAGTGCAAGAACTTACACCGCAACAGAAATAAATGAGACTCAAAAGAGCTAAAGAGTTACTTCGCTTGGCCGAATATGTTGCACTGCCGAATTTGGTTTTCTCTGACAACATTCGTTGTCAAGCAGTTTGTAAATTGACAAAATGATCGTGTTTACTTGCCAAAGAGGTCAGATGAAAATGTGCACCTTCGGTTGGCCACCAGAACTCAAGCTCCGGCCATGGTGATGGTGTGGGCCGCTATAACAGCCGATTTTCGCTCTCCGCTCGTATTAATCGACTGTGGCATCAGAATAAATGCCGAATAATATAATCTGGAGGGTGTATTAAACCCTTGGGTACGCAAACATTTTGGGCCGAGACCTTGGACATTCTAACAGGTCTCAGCACCACAGCACTCAACACGCGTCACTCAAGAATGGCTACAAATTGAGGTTTCTAGCTTCATTTCCAGCGCACAATGGTCACCAAAATCTCCGGATACCAATCCGCAGAGCAACATTCAGGCAGAGTGTGACGGCTTCATTGTCCGTTTGAAGGCCATAATTCGCCCCAAAGGTGACCAATTCGAACAAATCTAAACTTATTCTAAAATTTGATGCCTTTTCCGACATTTTTTGCTTTCACTCAATAAAATTAAAAAAAAAATTTTTGTTATGTGACTTTGTTGCATTTTTATACGCTACACCACATAGTGGTAAGGGTATTATGTCTTTCGGCATTTGTCTGTAACATAGAGAATGTTTGACCCAAGGACGAACCTTATTGAAATTGGAGATAATCGGTAAAAAATTAGATATAGCTCTCATATATATCTTCGTCCGATTTGCCTTTTATTGTACATCAAATGGTAATATCAGCCCAAATAGTATGGAATTTTCCACATACAACCGAATTAGGACTGAAAATAAGTATGCCAAATTTTGATCGAAATCGGTTCAGATATAGCTGTAGCTCCCATATATATTGTTCATCCGATTTGTTATTTTTGTCCTCCGCAGCCGTAATATGCACTCTGCAACAATAATATTTGGGGAAATATATAAAATACAGCTCAGAAATACATTTGCTAAATTTTATTGAGATTGGTTCAGATTTGGATATAGCTCCCACATATAACTTCGTCCGATTTACCTTTTATTGTGCACAAAACGTCTAATATTTGCCCAACTGGAATGGAATTTGACACATGCTCTCCGAATTGAGTCTAGAAGCTAGTATGCCAAATTTGGTGAAGATCGGTTCAGATATAGCTGCAGCTCCCATATATATTGTTCATCCGATTTGTTGTATTTGTTACCCACAACCGTAATATGCACTCCCTAACAACGATATCCAGGGAAATATATCAAATACAGCTTAGAAATATCTTTGCCAAATTCTATCGAGATCGGTTCAGATTTGGATATAGCTCCTATATATATCTTTATCTGATTTCAAATTAATTTTGCACCAAATGGACAATACAAGTCCGAATTTAAAAGATACAAATGCTTCGGCAAATTTAGTCCTTTGAATTTTAAATTACAATTATAATCATAGCGTGTATGATTGAATTCTCTCATAAAGGCTTTTAATTGCTATGTGGAGCTCTACAAAATTAGCAAAGTGGTGTAGGTTATAATAAAGTCGGCTCTGCCCGACTTTAGGACTTTCTTTACTGGTTTTTATTCTAGAAAATGGATATCCTTAAAAATTACTTTTAAATAAGAATCTACTTTTGAAAAATTTGCCTAAAATAAACATACGTTTTTTTATAAACGTTTCATGGATGACTGAAAAAAATATTCTTCAAAAATCCTCGTTTTTGGATGCCTTAAAACATATTTTTTAAAGAATTATACAATGTTATCTGAAAATGTTTGCAACAAATTTTTGAATGTTGGTGAAAATATTGTTAAAAAACTCTACTTTTTTGGTCGAATGAAAAAAAAATATTTTTTGAGTTGTGTTTACTATGGAGAAAATCAGATGTTTTTGATTGATTTTATTTGTCTGTTTCTCTTTCGAGAAAAACTTGAAGATCTGAAATCTCTGATAAAAAGTAATAAATATATTCTTATGTTTTCCACTTTAGCCACGTGATGGACTATCTAATTTATTCCCTACCAAATCCAAAATTAAAGTTCTAATAGTTTTTTATTCATGTTTCATTCAAAAGACCGATAACAATAATAAATAATAACTGTTTATTTTTATAATTACATATACTATAATAAATAAATATCTTACATAACATAAATATCACCCGAATATTGCTATGGTCCCCACGATAAAATTTCATAGGCCAATTGTATAAAATCATTAATCTCAATATTATTTCTCCTCAACTCTCTCCAGGATGGCGCAAGATTAGGTGACGTCTGAGGAAATTGAAAAGGGAAAATTATTTAAAACAATATCCATTCATTTGCATAGCAAGAGCACTGCAAAGGCATGGCCAAGACAACACTTAGCACCCCTAGAGTTGGAGTCCCTTTGAACTGTGTCCCATGCCATTGTCTTGTGCATCACCTTCTTTCATTCATTCATTTGTCATACCTTGGCTTTGGCAACCAATTGTTTGAACTCCTCCTGCTTCACGGCACCGTAGAGTCTGGCAAAATCACCGCCTTCGCTTACTTTACGCGCCATTAAACCGGAAAAACGTGCACGTGGCATTGACTGCATAACTTCGCGCATAAACGACACCAAATTCCTTTGCATCATCACGGTGACGGGTACTTTGGACGGAATGCGGAATGCGCGCAATTGATTTGGCAATTTATCAATGGCTGCCGTCACATCCTGCAGCGCTGGCAGTGATACGTTATGCGTTTGCAAATAACCCACCAAATCGAGAAATTCCCCCGTGTTGCGTATGCGACGCCAAGTCTGGGCGAACTGGGAGCTGCGTAAATACTTGAGTGCAACGCGGAATTGCTCATCCATAATGAAGTGACGAGCAGCGATGTAACCGATGCGGTTGCGAGGCACCAAAGCAAGAAATTCATGGAAATCGGATTTAAGATCTGCTTGCGAGCCCTGAACCAAACAGCTGGCAACAATCAGCGCTAGGGCGACGCCAAAGACGTATTTGCATTTCATGTTGATGGCCGGTCGGATGGGTAAGTGTCACGCTTGTTGTCGTCGTCGCTAATGAGATCTTTAACTGAAAAGTGTAGAGACGAGTTGGAGTGGTTTTATGTGTTTATTAAATGCTGTTGGACATGGTCAGCGTAGCGGCAGCTCACTCTTTCTAACCATTGGTACTAATTGTTTAGGTAAACAATTACATATTTCTTAAAGAGTTAATTTTTTGTTAGACTTTAATGTTTACTTAATAAATAATAACAAATCAACAATTTAACTTTTTAAATGAACTTTCACTGTTAGTTTTTTTTGCGGCCAATACAAAATTTTGAAAATAAACTTGTTTTTTTGCCAAGTGTTAATTGTTACTAAATTAAAGAGATTTTGCAAATTATATCTGACCAGTCGATTTACTCCACTTTAATCGAATTCGGAGATGTGTGATATCGGTCCACGCCTTCTAGAACCTCCCCTACAAAAGGGTAACATTTTAAAAGAAAATACTTTACTTTATAAATATCAAAGGGCGTATACGATTCCGCTCAAACGTTGCACGTACTAACCGTAGATCTACTATGAATATGGGTCGTATATACTCAATATTTGTGGTATATCCCCTACCCCTAGTAGGGTAAATATCCAGTAAAATATGAAATAAGTACCCGATATTGAGCCAACTTAGCAAATGCAGTCCACCATTGTTAAATTTGTCATTTCGTTTGTTATACCCTTCACCTTGAAAAGGAGGGTATATTAACTTTGTTACTCCGTTTGTAACATTCCTAAATATTCATTGCAGACTCCATAAAGTATATATATGCATTATCAGCATTTAATGCTAAGTCAATTTAACGATGTCCGTCTGTCTGTTGAAATCTGTACACAGCCACATTATTTGACATGGAGCTTCAAAATTTCGCGGACCAATTTATATTGTGTCTGGGATGGTTGGTATTGAAAATGAAATATATCGGTCCAAGTTTTGGTATAACCGCCATATCAAGGTACCTCCAGATATTCGGTATTTTGATAATTTTTACCACATTTTTCCACGAATTTTTCTAAAAATTGGTAGTTGTTGGTCATTAGAGGTTCTAGCTCTGGTAGCGAAACTTTAAATGTATAGGTCCACTTTTTGTATTGCCCCAACATAATGGTACATCCGAATATTCTGTATATTGATGATTTATGCCGGTAGCGATACATTGTGTGTATAGGTCAACTTTTTTGTATAGCCTTCATATAACGGTACGTCTCGATAATCGGGATTTTATTATTTTTACACTGATTTGTTAAAAAATTGTTATTTGTAGTTCATAATGGATTCTAGCTCCGGCGGCAGAACATTGAAAATTTTAGACCACGTTTTCCTCTAGCGCACATATGACGATAAACACTGCTGTTCAATAGGTTGTTCTATTCACATTTATCCACTAAATTGTTTCAAATTTGGTATTTAAGAAGATTTGGTAGATGACAGTCCTTGAAGTATAAAATTGTCTATAGAGGTTCTCGTTTTGGTTCTCGTGAGCTGAACATATCGCAATATTCCATTCCGCAAATATTAAAAAATGAGCTCTGGGTAAAGCCATTGAAATTCCAAAAAGTGCAAGAACTTACACCGCAGCAGAATGAAAATAGACTCAAAAGTGCTAAAGAGTTGCTTCGCTTGGCCGAAAGTGGTGAACTGCCGAGTTTGGGTTTCTCCGATGAGAAAACATTTGTTGTCCAGCAATTTGTAAACATAAAAAATGATCGTGATCGTCATAACAGCCGATGGTTGCTCTCCGCTCGAACAATCGATCGTGGCATCAGAATAAATGTCAATTATTATCTCGAAAATATTCTGGAGGGTGTATTAAGGCCTTGAACATTCCAACAGGACTCAGCGCCATCGCACTCAACACCCGCCACCCAAGAATGGTTACAAAATGAGGTTCCTCGCTTCATTTCCAGCGCACAAGCGCCACCCAAACCTCCGGATGCCAATCCGTTGGACTTTTGTGTCTGGAGGTTGTTGGAGAGTCAGGTTGGCACTAAAAAATACCAAAGTGTCGATAACAAGCAAGCAGGCAAGCGCTTCGCCGGGAATGGGCCAAAATACAACAGAGCAAAATTCGTGCAGGGTGTGACGGTTTCATTGGCCGTTTGAAGGCCATAATTCGTGCCAATTCTAAAATTTGAGGCTATTTGTGACATTTTTTACTTTCATTCCATAAAATAAAACAAAAAAATGTAAATATTATAGCGTTTGACTTTGTTGCAGTTTTTTTATCTTCCGCTGTATATAGGGGCTATGTCTAAATGTGAATGGATATTCACCAAAATTTGGGCGTATGTTAAAAATGCATTTCATTCGGACTGACACTAGGCATTTGGTGCACAATATTTATGAAATCGGTCGACACTATATGTGGGAGCAAATCACTAATTTCAATAGGATTTGTCCTTGGACCAAATAATTTCAATTTTCAAATTTCATTTCAATTGAGCAATAAATTAATTTTAACTAGTTTTAGGAGTATAGCTTCATTTAAAACCACATTTAATATATTTGCTTCTAAATGTGTACATAATATTGCAGTATGTGTTACAGTATAGATAATACCATTCCACCACACATTTGGAAGTGCTGAAAAAAAAAAAAAAACAAAATAGTTCTAAAAACAAGTAAGCAAAGGCTATAGTCGTGCGGGGCCGACTATGTTATACACTGCAATATGTTAGAAGCCCCCTTATGTCAAAATCCATATAAGAAGATTTCGCTTTTGAAATTATAATTTTGACTAGGGACATTTGCCCAACATTTATGCACTACGTCGGGCTGTTAGTTATTGTAGTCCATTTACAGCTAAATATAATCCAATGGTCATCCAAAATGCTAGAAGATTGAAAACCCTGTCCTTAACTCTCTTCACAGGCGTGTCGATTGGATTCAACTGTGTGATCGGAAAAACATTTCTGTTTTTTGTTAATTTGAACCCCTAAATATTTTGCAATCATCTCCAAAAGCAAGAAGCCCCTCTGTATCTTAAAAATTAGACGTATCTATATAATTTGCTTGTCTACGATATTAGGCTATATTCGTCAACGAAATCAGCATAAAAAGCCAGAAGTTCGACTTTTGTGTATTTCGGATATCGTCCGTAAGTAATGCTGGTATTTTTTCACACAAAATTAGTGATCCATTGTACCCGCTGTCCTAAACTCTAACTTTATGCGAGATGGACCAACAACTAAAAATGTTCCTGATTTTGCAGCCGTTATAAAGGTCACAAATAGAAACCAAAGGGCACGAGGTTTCTATTTGTGACCTTTATAACGGCTGCAAAATCAGGAACATTTTTAGTTGTTGGTCCATTTCAATCCCCTAATATATTGCGGACATCTTTGAAAACAATAGGCCTAGCCGTTCTGAGCCCAACCTACTTGTTAAAATTTTCGTGAGGATCAGACGATATTTGCAATATTTATATAATATCCCCAACCTTACAATACAGGTGCAAAAATATTACAAAATATTAAAAGTCAAATTAAAAAAAAATCGCATGCGATAAAAAATATGAAAAAATAAAAAAAAATGTCACAAAATACAACAAAATCTATATTAGCATCAATATAGGCATATTTTTCTGCGATTTTTAGATTTTATACTTTTATGTCAAGAGGGCATTCTGAATTGACAAAATTTGTCAAAATCGGTCCAGCCATTCTTGATATATAAACATTCTAACTAACATTCCCTTCCTTTGTATATACACATTGTATATATTTCGCTATATATAACCGATATAATTACTATCAGCATCTACGTAACGATCAGAATTGACCTGTTCATCTAGTTGTGATTTCGCCGGGATTAAAAATATTCGCGGATTAATGGAAAATTTGACTTTCATTTAACACAAATTTTGTGGCCTATTTCATTCACTAAATATTACCCGATGACCATCAATATTGGAAGGCTTCTGTCCAGCCCTAAGCTCTAGCCCCATGCTAACTTTCGCTTCGATTGGTCTATAATTGCGACCTGTAGAGCAAATGCAAAATCAGGATTTTTTTCAGTTTTTAGTCCATTTCAATCCCTAAATATTATGCGATCATCTCTAAAAGAAATAGGGTACTATTCTGACCCTAGCCCCACCTCCATTCTAAATTTCGTGAAGATCGGGTCATAATTGCGACCTGTAGAGTGATTACAAATTAACATGGACATACGGACGGACATACATAGCTAGATCGACTCAGCTCGGCGAGATACGAAGATTCATATATACTTTCCTATGTGGGAAACCAATATTTCCAGGTGTTACATAATTTTTTGGCCCAATCAAACTTATAATACCCCCAACATATAGTGTTGTAGGGTATAATTATTGGGAAGAGCTGGAGGTTTTCAATAGATCGGCTTCGTCGAAGTTAATTCCTTTTTTAAGGTTTATACCCTCCACCATGCCATGGTGGGTATATTAAGTTTGTCATCCCGTTGGTAACTCATCTCAGTTGTCATTTTAGATCGAACAAAGTATATATATTCATGATAAGCGTAAAATTCTAATCCGATTTAGCCTTCCTAAGGAATCGACATAGAATTCTGAAATTTTGTACACATGGGTTTTGGGTCTGAACTTATTCGAATTCGAAGATGAGCTATATCGACCAACATTCTCGTATAGTTTCCATACCCCCTAATTTTAAGCATTTCGACTTGATTTTTGTAAAATCGACTACCAATTCTCCAACAACAATATCACAACGTATAGCAGCCTTTTAATAGATCACACCATCCATTCGATAGATTCTTGCCAATAAATCTTAAAAAAAATATTACAACATATATCTACATCATGACAAATATTTCAATTGTTCACAACATTAAATCAAATAAATATCGAAAATATTTTCCAAACACCTGGCGTCATGAAAAACTTCACACCTCCAGACAAGTTCAAAATATTTTGGCAACAAAATTTATTTTTTTGGCATTTACTCTTATTAAATTTACTACTTGAGTGACGCCTACAGCCAAATAAAAAAAGCAAAGAAAAATTTTCCAACCCAAATGCAAAGTATTCACTCTCTGTGTGGGTGTGTGTGATTTCAGCT